TCGCCTAACCATCAGGCTGCAATCTGAAGTCTGTCCAAGCAGGAGCCTGGGATAGGGTGCAAACCCATGGGTCATCAGTAGTTTGGATAAATTAAGTACTAGAGCATCATATGTTAAATAGTTAAATGTAAGGGGTCAGGGTATGGGTGGAAGCTGCCGTTTCTGAGGATGGGGGTGATGGGTGAGACAGCACGCACTGGAAAAAGCCAAATTCGATGATAGAATCAACCGGGTTGGAAGAGACCTCAAAGATCATTGAGTCCAACGCTACTGTGGTTACTAGACCATGGTACTAAATGCCACATCCAGTCTCATCTTGAAAACTTCCAGGGATGGTGAACTCTGACTCTGAGTAGAACTTGTTAAAATCACAGCTTTCTGTCTCTCTGGAAAATGAAAATAAAAATCATAGCTTTCTAAATAAGCTTTATTGTTAGAGAAATGATAGAAGCAATTCAATGCTTAAAAGGAGCCAAGTTATAATAATGTAGAAGTTAACAGCCAATGTGGATTTTAGTGAAATTGTGGCAAGCAAAGGAAGTTGTGTTGTGTAGCAGAGCAGTGCTCTGTGCATGAGGGTATAAACCAGTAGACAGGAGGTTACTGATGGCAGCTCATGTAATGCTTTTGAGATGCAAGGCAGGAATGAGACTTTGGAAGGTGACTGTGCAGCTTGCTGGAATGCCACAACTCTCAGAGCACTCTGTCTGCAAGGATGTGCTTAGTGGGGTTGTGCAGGATTCTGTATTCGAGCAGAGTCTGAGTAATATTCTCATTAGTGTCTTGGCTGCTTGACAGACTGACAGTATTACTTATTCTCTTGGTAGGAAACAAAATTTTGAAGGGCCACAGACTGTCAAAGATAGTGCTCAAAATAACGTTAACAGAGCAGAGAAAGTTTGAAAAATGGGTTATTTAATTCAACATGTGTGCTAAGTCCCTTTCTTTGGTAAGACTGATCAGCATCTAAAATACAAGGGGAATGACTGCTTGAATTCCAGGTCCACATGAAAGGATTATAGACTGAACAAGAACCTGCAAAATCAGGTGTTGCAAAAGAGGAAAATCATACAAGATTGTTTATAAACAAAATCTTGTGTCAAACATGATGTAATATTTCCTTTCCTCTCAGTCCTGCAATACTGGGAGCACTTAGGAGCAACACGTTGCAAGAGAAAACCCCACAGAAGTGGATAAATGGGGATTGATTTACTAGGAAAGACACATTAGCCTACAAGGAAAAAAAGCAAACAACAAACAGAGGAAAAACTGGAGAAAGAAATAGAAAATCCTGTTCTGTGAGAGTAGGTAGGGGCAATAATGGGGTTACATTGCAGCAAGGGAAGCTTTAACTGAAAGAAGATGTATAAAGGTGATTGAGCCATGGAATGGATTGGTGCAGAACCTATGGAATCTCAGTTGTCAAGGTCCTCAATTTAGTTACCCCAAAGTCCTGAGTGCCAACGAAAAAAACTGTGTTCCCTTTCAGCCTTGATGTCTGTGGAGAATATGTGTCTAAGGGACAGAGTAGGTCTGAGCTCTCCTGAATTCCAGAGACTGTTCCAGCAGGGATGCTCAGCAGCTGGCTTGCCTGTACAATTTCCCAGCAATCTCTTTAGATTTCTTGGAATTAACACAAATGTGTTAAACCAAGCAAAAAGTGACATGTGCACAGGAAGATGTTTTTGAAATGAATGCTTTTTCTCAGGCAAAAGCAGCTTTTTTTCACTTACATCCATATAATCCAAGATTATTGTTAGTGCTGGTGCACTAGGCTCCATGTGTCACTGATGGCATGGTAACGAATGATGTCAGTGCAAACATTGTCATTCAGAGGGATCATAATCTCAGAGTGAGATTATGCCATGGGAAATAATTTCAGAAAGACCAAAACCACAAAGTTAAGGTTTAGTCATTGGTTTGTGGTACAGCAAAAACCTTGGTGAAAGCTGCACAAGGTTTTGCACAGTATTCAGCTCTCCTGCCTCAGTCCAGTCAGGTGTTTGTTGCTGCTGGAACATCACATTTGTTTCTCATTGCTTGTCAGTTGGTTTTGGATTTTTGTGGGGAAGAGATGTTAACAAATGCTGTTGTTGTTTCTTGTAGACAGATCTGGCATTTAAACAAAAGCAGAAGGAGGAGCAAAAGAAACTTGAGGAGATGAAGGCAAAGGCTGCTGGAAAAGGGCCCTTGGGTAAGTGAGGTGCCATCCTGACTGGAGAAATGGAGGCTTTTATTCCCTTAGCCCAGATTTGACCAGACTGTGCTCCTGCTGGATAAGAAATAAACAACAGAGGAACAAAGGAATTGTTGAAATATTTAGTTCTGTTGTAGATTTATGAGGCATATTTGGTTCCAGAAAGTTAAGTAAGTTACTCATTCAGAGTAAAGCATGTGAGGTCAAAACCACGCAAGAGTAGTAACATGCAGAATCAATTCACCAGTGGTGATGGGCAGTACAGGCAGTCTGGTGGGGATTTAGCTTTATGAGGAACTGAATTTGTGGCTAAGCTCTGTCACAGTTGTCTAACAGAATATGTCATTTCTTTTGGCAGCCAGTGGGGGAATAAAGAAGTCTGGCAAAAAGTAGTTTGATCAAACTGCAGAGTAAGAAGTGATTGAGTTACTCAATGGATCTGCAGACTTCAGAGTCATGAAAACTCGCTGTCATTTGGGAAACATTGTACATTTTGTTTAGTCAGAATAAATCTTTTTTGTTAAGATGTGATCTTTTCTCTTCACCTGTAGGTTTTGTTTAAAAATAGCTTTACTGTTTTATACTGGAAATGAAACTTTTCCTGAAGACCACATGTGTGTGCCCTTGGGCAGCCTGAGTGCAATTGCTGGTTGGTCCTCACTTGTGAGAATAAATTTCAACTTTGCTCTCTTTTGACAATGGACTCAGGGCCTGAGTGTTAAAATCTACAGTTTTAATCTGGAAGTTGAGGTTTAGCTGCAGTTGTCCGAGATGTGGCTTCAGAGCTGGAAGTTTTCACTAAACGAAAGGTGGGTTAAACTTCCATCACCAGCACAGGGGTTACCTTGGGGTCAGCCACACTCCAAAACAACACTCCTATGTCCCTACTTAAGCACAGTGCTGTGCCTCATAGCCCCAGTGCCTGCACAACTTACACTTCCCTTTGTCCTACAAATTCTCACTACGCCTTGTTTTCCTGAACATTTGCATGCTAAAAACATCACAGCTCCTTCCCACTCAGGGAATGCCTTTGGTGGGGGGAGGAGGGAAACAGGTGCTTGTGGGACTGAAGCAACTTTTAAAATGAATAGCAGTGGCTGCACACTGGGTATGGAAACCTGGAGGAAGGAATATGGTGTTGCCAAGATAGGAGTTATGGGGGGAGGATTAATGCAGAGCCCTTCTTACTGAATAGTGACAGTGGGACAGAGACTGCTCGTGCTGTTGGGAAGGGCAGCTGATGCCTGTGGGGAGGGGATTGTGTCTGTGAATGAGACACTTGGGCTGCAGGGTGGGGGAATCAGGGCTCATACACACTGTGGTCCGTAAGGAGCAGACTGCAGGAGTTGGGGGTCAGTGCACAAAGCGCTGCTAAGAGTTGCCTTGTTAAAAAGACACTTGGGGGCGTTACCCGGAGTGCCTCTGCCGCTCCCCCGCTGCCAGGCCCGGCGCTGCGGGCAGCTCACAGCCTCACGGCTGTGGAGCGATTCGAGCACAGCCGCTCGGATGTGTGGCCTCGGCTCGTATCCCTGGGCTGCCCATGCCCGAGCCCCGAGCAGTCAGGGCGCGATGCTCTCTCCATCCCCGAGCCGACAGAATCGCTGCCAGGTGCTTTGTAGCCCTTGGAGCAGCCTCAGCTCACGTGGCAATAGGTCACAGTGGGATCAGATCGCTGCTGTCCTCCAAGGGGGTGAAAATCAGCCTTTGGTGACACTGAAAAAACTCACTTCTCTAGAGATCAGATCGAGTCCTGACAGACACACACAGAGCTGGTGAAGGATAAAATTCAGGCTTGAATGAGTTCTGCATTTTGGACGAAGATAATTAATGTATCAGAAAAATACTCACACAGAGATGTAGGACAAAGGTGCCTTGGACACGGGGCAGGGACTGCCCTGGCTCTGTGCAGAGCACTGAAGCAGCCTGAGCCACCACTGCTGTCTCTTGGGGCAGAGCTCAGGTCCAACACATGAACACAACCAGAGACACAGCGTGCTCACAATTCTGTGTGCTCAGAGTGAAAACACAAGCTGGATTTACCTCCTTTACATCAGTCACACACTGATGGTGGCAGATCCTTACCCATATCGCCCATGTGCACACCCATTTTCTGCTGGTGTCAAAGTAGGTAACTTGGAGGGTGGTTTAAATGAGGAGGAAGAGGGAAAGGGAGACAACATCCTCTAGATTTCTCTGGAATATGAGAGAAAGAAAACCTTGGCAGTGTACCAATAAGCAATTATTTGCCCCAGGAGTTGCTGAATGAAATGAAGGAGGTTGCCAATCACAGCGAAGCTAACCTGAGGTGGTCTGAGTGGAAGGCACTGAATAAGGATCTGTGCTCCACAGCACGAGACAAGATGCAAAAGCATTTCAGCCAAAAATCAAGACGAGGGAAGGAAACCAAATGGCAAAGTGACAGATCACAGCTGTGGGAGAGCTGTTCTCAATAGGCTTTAATGTAGACGCTGAACTGTCCTCTTGGCCAGGAGTCCTCCTGTGTTTAAGATTAAGCTATGGAAATGAAGCTGAACAAAGGAACACTTTGGTTGCATCTTTTTACATAATAAATGACATTTCAATCCTTACTGCAGCTCCAGCTCAGTGTTAAACTAACACAAAGACAATAAATCACATATATACATAAAATTGTTGTGTCTGAAGGGCACAGAGTAAGTCCAAGAGGCAGTAGGAAATGCCAATTAAAACAGCAGCATAATAGATGCAAATATTCTTTGTAGGG